GGCCTGGATGTGGGTTTGCTTTTTTCTGTTTACGTTCTCCGTCTTCTTTCGTCTTGTTTTTGGTTTTATGTCTTAGAAAACAGAACTTTTCAAAGCAGGCCTGGCACAGCCCAAGGCTACTCTGCCCCCACGTGGACGCTCCCCAGGGGAAAGAAGTCTGGAAGTAAACTTAGCCCCGCTGGCCTGAAGGCCTCAACTCTGGCTGGACTGTAAGTTTTGGAGTCATGACCTTCTCGCTTGGCAGGTGGGATTCTTTATCTGCTTTGGGCTGGACCTGAACCTCAGCTGGCACCCAAATCTCCCCGCTCCAATCACACCTTGTACCGGAGCTAGGCCCTGGACACTGATCTGCAACATGGATAAATATGACGACCTGGGCCTGGAGGCCAGTAAGTTCATCGAGGACCTGAACATGTACGAGGCCTCCAAGGATGGACTCTTCCGTGTGGACAAGGGTGTCGGCAACAACCCTGAATTTGAGGAAACTCGCAGGGTGTTTGCGACCAAGATGGCTAAAATCCACCTCCAGCAGCAGCAGCAACAGCAGCAGCAGCTCTTACAGGAGGAGGCCCTGTCTAGGGCTGCCAGAAGCCCTGTCAACGGTGGGAGCCGTCCGGGTGTGAGCAGCAAGCTGACAACAGATGGTGCCGCCAAGCCCCCTCTGGCTGCGCCAACAGTGGCACCTGGATTAGCAGCCACCACTGTGGCTGTGCAGCCCTCATACCCATCTCAGGAGCAGAGGGCCAGGCCATCTGCCCATGGTGCAAGGCCTGGCAATCAGAACTGTGGTTCTAGGGAGGCGCCTGTGAGTTCCCAGAGGCCTGCTTTACACGGTCTGGGTCCCTGTGAAGACCCTTCCTGCCTCACTCATGGAGACTATTACGACAATTTCTCTTTGGCAAGCCCACAGTGGGGTGATAAGCCAGAAGTGTCCCCCAGCTTGAATCCGAGTGTAAGGAGTGGGTGGCCAGGTTGCCCAGGGAATGATTCCCCATTGCCCAGATCCTGCGGGGACCATTACTCTTACCAGCCACAAATCCCCGTGTGCTCTGGCAGGCCTTTTGAGAGTGGCATCAGTGGCCAGGATGGTGGCATTAGTGGCCCTAGCAATGTGAAGCCAACAGGCCTTTGGTCTACTGCCTCCTCTCAGCGGGTGAACCTCGGCTTTTCCTCTCCGGGCTTGGAGAATGGGGCCCCAGCTCAACCCAGGAGCACAGCTGTTTCTGCACCTCTGGTCCCTGACAGCACGAGCCAAGGAGCTTGTCTAAGAGATTCAGGTCTGGGATGTGAGGCTCCAGGCAAGGTCCTCAAACCTACTGTGGACGCTCAGCCTTGGCTCCAGGATGGGCCCAAGTCTTACCTCTCTGTTTCTGCTCCATTATCCTCAACAACTGACAAGGACAGTACCCAACCAGGTATGACCCCCGGGCTGGGTCCTAAGCCTGGATGCATGGACTCTGGCATTGGTCCCAAGCCCAGCCCCACCAGCCTTGTCCATCCGGTGATGTCCACTCCATCTGAGTTAACTTGTAAAGAGAGTCCTCCCAGCTGGTCCACTGACAGTAGCCTGGGACCTGTGCTCCCAGAGAGCTCCACCCCCACCAAGGTGAGGTTGCCTTGCCAGACCCTGGCACCAGGTCCTGAGCTTGGACCCTCTACTGCGGAGTTGAAATTAGAAGCCCTTACCCAGCGTCTGGAGCAAGAAATGGACGCTCACCCTAAAGCTGATTACTTTGGTAAGTGAGATACTTGTGGAGTTGCCTGTGGTGGGGTGATGGTCCCCACCAGAATGCTGTAGCTGGTCTTGAATTGGTCTGCTGTTATTTTTTTTCTTCCTCTTTCAACTGCTTCTGCTGCTTTAGAAACTTGAAAGTAGCAGCTCTCATGCGTGGGAGTTACCCATGTGTGCAGGGGGAAGCAGGGTGGATTGCTCACAACTGCTCTCACAAAAAGGAAATGCTGTGACTTTGGGTTTCAGGGGTTTGAGGTGACACTTCAAACCTCTTGCAGTGAAAGGCAAGAGGACTGGACTTGAATGGGAGTGTTTTTCCCAGGGCCAGATATGTGGTTGTTCTACTCACAGTCACGGTATGTGGAATGTGTGGCTTTTGGTACTAGTCTGCTGTTCAGTATGGTGGTTCTGCAGGTAGACCTGGACCAGCATCATCTCTTTGCCTAGATGCTGGTTAGAAGTGGAATTCTGTAGCTCCTCCTTGGACCTGCTGCAGCAGGAACCCAGGGTAGGACTCTGCAGGGTCACTAGAGCCACTGTGCCAGGTGCCTCTTGACTCAGACCACACCCAGGTGCCTGCCAGCAGCAGGTGATCCTGATGGGCAGAGACAGGGGAGCCAAGTTTGTAAGGTGCCAGCAGCCAGGTGATACCCACAGGTGTGGCTTGAACTAGGATGAAGATGATTCTTGAGGCTTTTACTCAAGCTTTGCCGATTTTATTCTCTCTTCTAAAAAAAATAAAACAGACTCTTTTGAGACTGCTGCCTTCAACTGTTTTCTCTGCATGGGGTTTGGAGGCAGCAACAAACTATCTGTATTCCTCTCTTGAAGACAATTGCCCATCTCAAGGGAGAGCGACTTGGGAAGGCAGCCTGTGCTTAGGAGTCTGTGGCTTTTTTCATCTTTTTAATTTTTTCTCTTTCCATTTTTGGCCTCTGAGTAATGGGCTCATGATTTCTCCATAGTCCAAGTCCTGCTAAGTAGCAGCTTTCCCAGATAGAGGAATGCTGGGACAGGGAATGCCCTTGGAGGGAAAGGTGCTGGGTTTCTCCTACTCTCTGAATGAACAGATTTGTCCTGAGGCCCCAGGAGGGTCCCAGGAGCTGGGCCATGGGCATATATGCAGTCTATAGTAGCACTGGAGTTTGCTCATCATAAGCAGCTCTGGAAGCTCGTGCTCAGGACAGTCAGCACTCAGAGGTAATGGTTGCTGTCAACTGTTTCTTCTTAGATTTGTTTTATTATTTGCTGTATTTGGGTGTTTTGTCTGTGCATATGTCTGTGCACCACACGCTGGCTGGCAGAAGTCAGAAGAGGACATCACATTGCCTGGGACTAGAGTTACAAATGGTTTTGAGCCCCCATGGGGGTGCTCCCCCATGGGGAGCCCCCGTGGTGGCTGTCTGCAAGAGCAACAAGTGATCTTAACTGCTGAGCTAACTCTCCAGCTCCTGGTTTATTTTTATTTTTTTAAAGCACACAGTACTGTACTATCCTGCTGTGAACTACCCTATTTTGTTTTGCAAAGCATGGCTATTTATCAGGAGATGCTGTGGGTCTTTTAATTTAAACTTAACTTAGTTCTTAATTTGAAGCCCATGGAACAAAAAGCATCTTATTTTTTAAGGTTGCTAGTTTACTGCTTATCATCAGAGCAATGATATTGACTCATACTGTTTATTCATTCGGCCTCCAACCACTGACCACCTGTCTGGGGTTGTGCCCTGGGCTAGGCCTTGGGAACGAACAGTAGGTCAACAGTCAATACAGTACAAGCAGAAGGAAATGGTCAAGTACTAGGGAGCGGGTGGGGATGAAGCCTCCTTCTGAGGGTGAAATTGCTTGTTTTGAATTGGTCATAAACTGAAAAGTCTCAACTGGCATTTAGGCACAAGCCCGAAAGAGTCAAGGGATTCAGGACCGCTATGTACCTTTGTAGGGAAAGGGCTGCAGCTCTGAGTCTGCCTTGTGCAACTTTGATGATGGAGTGTCTTTCTAATTTCCCTTGGGCTGATCATGTGGCAGAAAAATTCCTGCCTTTAAGGACTCAGCCGGCAAGTCTTAACAGACCATGTGCTCTCCTAGGCAGTTCCTCCCTTGCCTATAAGACCAGTGGAGTAGGCCCTATCCCCTTCCCTACGTCTCATAGCTCTTGCAAGATTTGGTATTTATTAAATCATGGTTAACTTTTACTTCCAGGTAGAATATTATTTCAAGGCACAGCAGTTTTGCCAGAGGGAGCTGAAGTATTCTCTATCAGTCAGGAGGACTCCAGTTAGAAGCAAAAAATACTGATGTCTGGTTTGTTATCCTAGATACCTTCCTGAGACAGACTGAAGGTGTCTCTTGGGTATCTGACTCTGGGCAGAATGTATACCTCTCCTCTTCACTTCCTCTGAATGCTGTTGGATTCTGAACATGCCTGGTTTCTGGTTATCTAATGGTTTTTAAAATTTGTATTAATGGGGGAGGGAGTAGGTGGGTTCCTGAGTGTCGTGTGTGTGTGTGGGGGGGGTTGTTTTTAATTAATTAATTTTTTTTTTTGAGACAAGGTCTCACTCTATAGCTTAGGTTGTAGCTCTCAATTACAGTCCTGAGTGCGGGGATTATGGATATCTGCTCCGCACCTGGCTCCTTTATGTGTCTAGACAGGACATATTTCTCCCCACTCTTCCTATTTTTCATTTTGATTTCACTCCCAAATGATTGTGTGTTTTTATGAGGCAACGAGCATACCATTTCAGCACAAAGTATAGGGAGCAGGTGAGGGCACTTGGAGTTGCTAACCTCAGACCCTTCTCATTTCTTTTTTATTTTATTTTACTATTTTTTATTTGAATTAGAAAGATTGTTTACGTCAATCCCAGTTCCCTCTCCCTCCCCTCCTCCTCTTCCCTCCCAACTAACACCCTACCTATCTCATACCCTTTCTGCTCCCCAGGAAGGGTGAGGCCTTCTGTGGGGGGTCTTCAGAGTCTGTCATATCCTTTGGGATAGGGCCTAGGCCCTCCCCCATGTGTCTAGGCTCAGGGAGTATCCCTCCATGTGGGATGGGCTCTCAAAGTCCATTCCTATGCTAGGGATAAGTACTGATCCACTACAAGAGGCCCCATAGATTTCCTCACTGACACCCACATTCAGGGGGTCTGGATCAATTCCATGCTGGTTTCCCAGCTATCAGTCTGGGGACCAAGAGCTCTCCCTTGTTCAGGTCAGCTGCTTCTGTGGGTTTCACCAGCCTGGTGTGGACCCCTTTGCTCATCAGTCCTCCTTCTCTTCAACTGGATTTCAGGTCAGTTCAAGGTTTAGCTGAGGGTGTCTGCTTCTGCTTCCACCAGCTGCTGGATGAAGGCTCTAGGATGGCTTATAAGTCAGTCTTGTCATTTCTTTGTGTTTCACATTCCTCTGTTATTCAGTCACTTCTCCTCAGCTATCGTCACCATCCCCCTGTGTGGCAGACACGGGACACTGTCCCTCCTGTGCAGCCCTGGCCCCATCCTCCCTCCACCTGCCCAGGCCCTGCTCTGTTCCAATAACACTGGCCTGTTCTCTGCTTCTTTGAGATCAACCCATAAACTTTTGTGCCTGGATGAGGATGTGGTGTTCACTTTTCCCTGCCTGATTTACTTCCTTTCTCATGGTGAAAGAAGCTATCAATGCTGTCAGAGGTGCTTTGGGCTCCCAGCCTCCCTCATGAGAATTCTGTTCTCATGAAGCTGCTCATGGGGCCGGGAGGAGGTGAAGGCGGTGCCGTGGACTTGTGTAGTGGGCCCCAACTTTTCCTCCTCACTCTGGTTCTCTCCTCCCTTACTAAGGGAAAAAGACACAAAGACCCATCTCAGCCTAGCTTTCTTGGAAGCTAACTCTGAAACTTTATCTTGGAGGGTGCTCACTAAGTGGTTCTCTTGGGGTCCTCATCTTGGGGGGAGGTGGCAAAGTCCAATGTCATCAGACCTGACTTTCACACATTTCCCCCAGGCATCAGCTACTGTGTGTGGGCCACTCTGGGAATAGGTGACCTTGGGCGGAGTGTCCTCCAAGGGGATGATGACAGGTGCCAGTCTCACCCTAGCATAAACAGTGAAGCAATTACCACAGCCCTTCTGGTGCTGGAATGAACATGTGACCTTGGGTACCCTGACTCTGATAATAGCTGCTGTTCGTTGAAGGTCAGGCATTGGGTTAAGTGCTTGGGATACATTATCTCCAGCTAATCTTCATAGTCAGTGGTGGTGCAGGCACCATTGTCCTCTGTCATAAACAAGGAACCGGTGGTGAGAAGGTTCAGTGACTTGCGGGCGATCACCCTAGCCACTGTCTTTTCTTCTGGAGTGGGACTAGTTAGTCTCCCAGTTCCGGCTTTGATATCCTCTATTCGTCTACCCAGGAGAATGCATATGCTGCCCCCTCTGCCAGGAACCTGACTGAGGGTCTAAAGGAGAGAAAACAAAGGTCGTAGGGTCTCTTTCTCTATTAGTAGAGAATGGACCACTCCCCACCTACAAAGATCCAGAGAGACTAACTCTGTCTTCAGCTTTTCAGTGCTTGAACCAGAGTCAGTAGGAGTGCGGGCACCTGGACACAGGATGTGATTTCCCCTGGGAATGGCTGTCCCTGCCTGGGCCCAGCAAACCTCACTGGTTTCATTTTAGTGGCTGTGGAGGATGTGAATTGAGCAGCCTAAACAAGAAGCCAGCACAAGCTGTCCTGTCAGTTCCTCTGTGTGCCATTTTTCTGGTCTTTTACTTTTTTGAGACAGGGTCTTATGTAGCCCAGGCTAACCTTGAGCTCTTTATGTAGCTGAGGATGACCTGGGACTGCTGACCCTCCTGTCTCCACCTCCTGAGTGCTGAAGTTACTGGCACCTAGTCCAACCACTGTGTCTTTTAGCAAATCTTATCTGGCTTTGTAGCGGTATGAAGTGAGGGGCTGAATTCCAGCCTGGGTGGAAATAACAGGCAAGGACATGATGTGGACTAGATCTGTAACAGAGGCGCACCTCCA